GAAGGAATCCCGAAGCTCCCCGCGCGTTCTTTGTCTATTTTAATAATTAATAAAGATTTCAATACTGGTGCAGAAATGAGCTAGCATGTTAAAAAAAAAAATTTTTTTTTTATATCAAATATTTGAACGCTACTTTATTGTTAAAAATAGTAAGCAATATATCAAGTAATATTGGTAATAGATTTCTTTTTAGATTAGCTTTTATTATATGTCTTTTTGAATATTTTGGTTGATTTATGATGTATTTTTTGATCAATAAAAGTAGGCTGAACCAGTTTAAAAAAAAAAAAGGAATAGCAATAGTAAGTTTGTTTCTTTAAATATATATATATATTAATATTGTAGCCATAAAACTTTGTGCAAATATATTTTTTATATAAAAATCAAATTTATATTGAGCAAACCACTTTAGAATATCTATTATAGCATTTAGGATCAAAAGGTAACAAACTCATTATTTAAAGCTTACGATAATATTCTTAAAATTATCAACACTGAAATTCTAAATTGCAATTTTTTAAAATCACCGACTAAAGAAAAGTCAGAAAAAAGAAATTAAAAGGAAAAAAGAACGAACCAACTTTCGTTGCATGTCTTGCATTTTTAATTACAGTAAATCGGTTAAATGAAAATCATTAAATTGTGTCTATAGAATATATTATATATTAATTTTATTTCTTATTTTAAACTTTTGACTTAATTTGCAATTATGCGTATACACATGTTTGTCATTTAGAAAAACGAGAAAATTTCATTAATATCCTGATTATCTAAAATTACGGTATATAAAGTATTTGATAAATTGGAATAGAACAGACTATAATTTGTTTCAATTAAAATGTTAGCTAAATTAAACAAACAACCATATGTAATATCGGCCAACGCGAGAATTTTGTGGGGAACAATCAAATTATTATAATAGCATGTTATTTTTTCCATCAGTATTATAAACAACCTTCTTAGCTTCGCGTCCGGACATCGTCTTTTCGTCATTGTTTTCGATGTTTTCCTTTGAAATTCGATTACGAACAACTTTTACATTTTTTTGATCATTGATAAATTCCGTGGGCATCGATTTATTGTCGTTAATGTTGCGAGTCTTTAAAACCTCGTTATTCTTATGCTTTCCACGATAATCTCTTTGATTCTCAATGTCATTTTGCGCGAGTATTCGTGAGCTGTTTCGAGAGATCTCACAGTTCTTATTGAACACTAGATCATCATCCCTCTGTAGCATTACCTCGGGCCTAATGATGTCGTTCGTATAGTATGGAGTCCACTCTTCTCCTTTATTAAAATTTGGAATAGACAAAGAACGCGCGGGGAGCTTCGGGATTCCTTCTTGGTAATACTCTTTGAAGTAATGGTTTTTATAAAATTTCATCGTTTCCAACACGAACATAAGCCCACTGTGTGGTTCATAGTAGGTATCGTATCTAAATAAGGGATCGTACCGTTTTAGCGAACTGACTTGGAAGCAAATGTTGCTGATTTTTTTTTTACTTGATCACACTTCGTACCCTTCACAATCGATCCAAAACTGATTTTCCCCCTTCAATTCGCCAATTAAGGCTACGAGTGTACCAATGGTTAATCTTTCGGCGTCAAATCGCTTAAGCAAAATAGGCTTGAGATTTACGCACATTGTTCCGGTTGAATCGTCTAAAAAATTAATTATTTAAACAATGACTACCTTTATAAATGAACGACAGCATATAGCAAAGTTGCCCACCAATAACAATTCTTTGCTTTTCCAAATCCTTCTCGACTATAATCCCGTGAACTCTATTAAGGAACAATAAAACAAATTCTTTAAGCTTGACATTTTTTAAGTGCGATCCGTAGACAACTAACCTGACTTTTAGAAACCTAAACGAAGTACTTCCGAGCGTGAAAAAGTTTTCATTCTTAATACTATACGTGTGTATATCGCGAAGGAAAAGTCGTACGTAAACGTCCATTTTGAAATCCAAAAATACTTAAGGACGTGTTTCCCTTTAAACGCGATTTAATTATATAATTATTTTTATTGGCTTAAGGTCATGTGATGTAATGGTATGGTGATCGAGTACTTATGAATTTCGACATAGAAAATTCGGATGCGTTGGAAACGAAAGTTGAAACCGGATTTGATCGAAAAGAATACAGCAAGAACGTTATATATTGAAAATAACAAAGTTTTGGATTTTGGTTAAGCACATAATGTACGCAAATTTGAAAATTATACGCATTAAAAGTTAATCGCCTTATACAGTTTCTTTGTACGTTTCTGTCGCTCAAGTAGAACATTGAACTTATGCATTTTTTTTTTATATCAGTTGATCGTGATGTAATATACTTCTTTATTTTATATACTGTAGATTAATATACTGAATTTATTATACCAGTTATTTACTAATAATTTTTATAGTCTTTTTTAAAAATATCAATAATATTTCTGTAAGAAAAATCAAAATGATTAAAATCTTTAATATTATTATTTTTAAATTATTGTACGTTTTTTTCTTTGATAAATTTTGTATAGTTCGCGTAGAATTATTTAAATTTAAATATTTTAATTAATTTACATTTGATCAATAAGAAATCATCTGAAAATTATTGTTAAAAATTTTTTACGAAACATTTAAATTATATCTTTAAATTTTCAAATCGGTGAAAATAAATTTAGGTTTGTCTTTATACACGAAATCAATAAAAAGCCTCTTTTTTAAATATACTGCATAAATCTTTAAAAAAATTTTTGTGCAAACAATTAAAAATTTTAATAAGGCGTGAACATATTATATCTTTATTTTAAAAAAGACGATAATTTATTTAAACAATAAATTTTTTTAAAAATTTTTTTGTTCTTCTTATGATACTAACGATGGTTATAAGTAAACAAATGGTTTAAAAAAAGTGAAAAGAGCATAGGTGTTGTTCGCATTTAAATATGAGCTCCGATGGATACCGTATAAAAATAACGACGGACGTACTTGGAATAACATCACAATAAACAATTTGATCGGTAGTATGGTGGAATCAATAAGCTCGTGTTAGAATAATAGATGCACTAGATTCATGTTCGATATTGCAACGAAAGAATTAATTAATTACGTACGCGGACGACCATGTGGGAAGCAAAAAGAAGGTCTGAAAATTTATCTTTAAATTATATATACGAAAATGGATGCTATTAGCAACGAAAAATTTCTATTCGATTATCTAATGGTATGGAGAATGAGATTACCATGGATTTGACCATGAACGATAATGAATGTAAGCCGACCATCCGTTAAAAAATGCCTATTCGCAACCACGTGTCTTCATTTCCAATAGATTCGACTTCGTTCATTTAAAAGAGTTCAAGGTTAAATACAGGTTGGATTTTGTTTTTGGATGCACATTGAATCGAGAATATGACTTTCGTCTCTAGTTAATTATGTCCTTAAGTTATACACGATTCTATGCACTCTTTATAACAGAGTTTATCTCTGGAAGTAAAGTTAAGAAATAACAAAAATAGTTCATGACACATTGCGCATAACAAAAGAGCTTGCTTAAAAACAGTGTGCGCAGAACCTAATAACATTCCCCACTATTAACTTTATAATTATGCTATATCAGTGTATATTATATTGATCTATTCTAATTTACATTTAATCAGTCCTTTTCGCCAACAAATTTATTGTCTCTCTTGTAATAACATAATTTTTTTCTTATTGATTGAAGTATTGTATTGTGCCGTAAATGTATCTATCGCATCATTCTTGAAACCATATTCTTCTTTGCGAATTACTATACACGGTCCGAGAGTTATTTTTATCATGTTCATTTCTTTAAGGGTATAAAAATAAACCGAATGTCGTGACACATCGTTGTACAGATATACGCATCTAAGTTTAGCATGATGTTGTCACTATGACAATAAATATAGGGTGAAGAAAATCATAAATCTATTTTCTATAAATTGGAGACATGAGCATTCAAGGCAATCTATTTTTAACTGACTTGGCAAACCTGCATCCACAATACAAATTCTTGCAGTTTACCAATTAGTAAGCATAATATAAAGTCAATACTCTCACAAAATTTATCCTTGGGTAACCCTACTGTATATAGAGAATTTTTTCGGAATTCTTTTTTTTTTTCTTCTTCTAGGACCAGCCAGTACTCCACAATCCCTAAATTTAATTTGGTGACATCATACGTGGTCACAGGGTATGCATGTAGCAACAGAGGTGGCGATATCAGTAACTATGAAAGGACAAGGTCTCATGGTAACCATTCTATGTAACAAACAAAATGCACGGTTACATATATTGAAAATATATCGGCTTAAATCGAATGTTGGGCTCTTGCATTGTTTTTTTTCCTTTTCCGTGTCCTGCACTTTTTTTGTCACCTGTAACGGTAACATACCTTTACCATTACTTCACTTTGTCCAATTAAATCATGCATTCATAACGGTCTTCGCATTGAGTACTCGGAAAACATCCCAAACCGAATTCGGACTGGTCGATAACATGATTTTTCAAATCAAAATGTGAAATAACTGGAATAATAGATAACATGATGATTATTTACAGTTAAATATGAAGCAACAATATTAATATTTGCATTACCAATGGTAAATAGCTATCTTTTCAAAGAGGGCAAATGAAATTCTATATGTGGAGAAAAACTAAAGTCATACTGCATCGGAATGACTAATATTGCCTCAGGGGCATGAATAAAATCATTGTAATACGTACGTGTATTATAGAAAGTTCATTCGATCGGGAATTTGCTGTGCATTTTTTTTTTTTTTTTTTTTTTACAAAGTTCCCTTGACCCCCAAATCTCTCATACTCTTGAAGTCCGGTAAAATGTGTTAAGTTTTTCCTGCAAAACATATTCTGACTTATCCACAATTATTATATTACTGCGACAAATTGATAAAATTTTAACCGCGACGTTTCGTGTTCAAATTTGCATTCGTATCAATTGTCTTTTATTTGTTAAGAGAATAAGTCTCGAAGTAGCTGTTGCATATCATTATTTTCTATAATCGGGGTGAAATAATAATTCCTATTTTTAATTATCTTCACTACAAGTAATTGTGATTAATTAAGTACACAAGTGAAAGAAAAAAAATGAGGATTTTTTTCTCAGTTAGATGTAATGAAATTTCTCACAAAAAAAACATTAAAATAAATATAAAAAAAGGTAATAAGTTGTAAAAATAAGAGACGGAGTCAAAAATATTATAGATGGCGACCCGATGCCACCATCGGAAGTGATTAGAGCACAATTCGAACAAGTGAAATAATTATAAGAATGGACTAAAAAACAACCGGTACAGTAAAATGATTCATCGATGGCCCTGCAATCAATGAAGCAATGTTGAAAGGGAGCACCAGCGCAGAGACCAGGATAACAAGAGAAGTTTTGATAGTTTTGAACCCAGTAACATGAAGAATTCGAAGAAGAACAAACTCCACAGTTATAAGAACAATAGGAGTCACCGCCAGAAGGAATAGTATTAACTGAAGTAACAGTCGTACCGCTGGAACACGAGCACAGGTAGAGTCCGAGGAGAAAAACTTGTGCAAACCACGAACTAAACTTCATCCTAAAAGGTGTTTGGGCAAATGGTAGTTATGCAAAAGAGAATGGTCAAGCTAAATACGTAAGGGAAACGAATTGACTTTCTGTACAATGAACCTTTATATTTAGGTGTGGCATCTTTCCATTGTCCCTATTTCGTTCGGAGATAGACTGTAAACAGAAAATTAAAAGCACCATAAATCTCTTTAATGCGATAATCTTCCATGCTACGTGATATCATAGAAACTTTGACCTCGGTGACCACTGAAAATTCCGATTAAGAACAGAACGCTTTGTTATTTTTCAAAAAGCATTAGAAAATGTATGGCGTCGACTTTCAGATATCACAAGTGAAACGATGCTTATAAACAAATGTTCTCTGATAAATTTATTTTTAACATGCTATGGTTTAAAATTTATTCTTACTGAAATGTTTTGTTGTAACATATTACAAAAACTTTGTCCTAATTTTTTTAAGCCAATTTTATTATAAACTTGTGATTAAAATAATATTTTATATTTATTGCAAGACAACTTTTTTTTATAATATTTTTTCAAGAAATCATTTCAAATATTAATTCATTTATAAATAATATTTATGTGATAATATTTAAATTTCAATAATAATTATATATTAAATTGAATTTCACTTGTAAATTATGCATATAATTTTTAAAGTTAATAAAAATAAAAATTTTATTTGTTGATAAAATTTTAAATTGATATTCATTCATAATAATTTACAAAAAAAAAAAAAAAAACTTTTATTAAATATAATTACATCAAACAAAATATTTTTAAAATAAATATTTATTTTAACAAAAAATAATAGTAATCGAGTTTATTCTATTAAAAAAAAAAAATTTTTTTTTTATTTTGAATTTTAATAATTTAATTATTGGTAATCTAAATAAATAAGTTGTTAAAAGAATTGTTATACTGTATATAATTATAAATTGAATTTTTATTTCAATGCTATGATTATAAATAATTATATTAAAAAAATTTTTTTTATTGAAAATCAATTAGAATATTAGGTAATATATCTTTTACGTACGTAATTGAATTTAGCAAAAAATATACCCCTATTTAAAGCTCATAAGTTATCATATAATAGAAAAAAGGGCAATTATTTCCAAGCTTCCGACGGAAACGATGACGATATAGCACAGCATAGGTACAAACAATATCCGTTCATGTACAATGTACTACATGTTTTCGACAAAATGGCCTGATCAAAGAGGCGTCGTATACACAAGCACACATGTCGTACAGTTTGTATATAAATACACCGTTACTACTACCACCGTGCATCGTCATAACCTAATAGTAAACAATGGTCCGCGGAAACTGTCTTATCGAAGATTTAAAACTCTTAATAAACAATACTCAATATAGTGACTTGGAAATTGAATGTAAGGACGGCGTTGTTCTCCATGGTAATTGTGCAATCTTCGCAGCTCGTTCCGAAGTGTTCAATAGGATGCTCTTTACCAGGGAGAACGAAGCACCTAACAAAAAAGTATCATTTCCAAAAATTGATGCTTCTATTATGAAAATTATAATTGAATACCTATATACTGGCACGATCGCCGACGAAACATTAGCGGCAGATAACATATTTGAAGCTTTGGACGCCGCCGATTTTTTCCAATTAAAGAATCTCCAGGATCTTGTTTCCGACTTTTATATACAAATATGCAGGAAGGAAGGAATTGATAATAAATCTCCGGAACTATTGTCAAAAGCAATTCAACTTATGTCTTCGTCAACTGATAATGGGGCCATTAATTTTTTGGTGGATACAGTTGCTAGGATTCCGTTAGATACTATTGGATTTGATCGATTATCCTTACAAGCATTGCGATGTTTATTATCCAAGTCAAATGATGAAACCAAAATTTTCGCTACTAGCGAATATTCAGTGCTGCGGTTTGCAATTTTATTGGCCGCGAAGAACGTATCACAAGAGGCCTTTTCCACCTTGGAAAAAAAGTTACCATCATGGAAAAAGATCGAAGATGGGTTTGACTTTAATAACAACGGTATACCTGATATCGAGGATGTTTGTGCTTCTACGGCCAACATCTTGGCACCCATTATCGAATTCATCGACCTTCGACGTATTGACGGAAAAATTCTCGTCGACATTATTGAACCGTTGAATTTGATTCCATATAAAAATCTGGTGGCCGCTTATCGTTTTTATACTTATGAAAAGAGATATCTTCCGCTTTGTCGTGGCATTAATTTTAAGTGGGACAAGCATGGTTGCGGTCCATCTTTATCTATCAGTTCCGACGGGTACATGGTATCTTACGACGGAAGAGGGGGTTGGAATAGTGTCAGAACCAATTATATAATAAGCAGTGGGAACCATAAGTTTCGTGTCAGAATTGAAGACACGAGTTGTTTCTTCGTCGGTGTTTGCGGTGAAAATGTTAATTACTCGAATCACGTAGGAAGCAGAGATTACGGTTGGGGATATTATTCCGGCGGTTATATATACGAGGATGGGCTACATAAAGCGTTGTCTTGTAACGTCCCGTCAATTAGCCAACACAGTAACGAAGTAACCATGGAATTAGATATGAAGAATAGAACATGCGTAATTTCTGTCAACAAAACGGACAATGTCGTAAATTGGGTCAATCTTCCATCAAATTTATATTTTGTTGCATCGTTGTCAACTGCGGGGAAAATTTGGATCGTAAAGTAGCCACGCATCAGATTCGTTATGCTTATTTTTCTTATTTGATTTATAATTTTATAATTAATAGTCATTTATTTTATTTATCAGATTTCCAATTTATACTTGGTTATTTATTTATTCGATTCATTCATTCATTCATTCATTCGATTTATTTACTGTATAATCATTTTAGGTTACCATTTTATTTATTTATTTTATTTATTTACTCGACTCATAATTATTTATTTATTCGATTTGTAATTTATAATCATTTTAGGTTTACAATTTATTGCCATCTAATTTATTTAATTTATTTATTTAAGAATATTAAGAATATTAAAATTGACAAGTGACTAAAAAAAAAAAAAGTTTTTTTTTTAAAAAATAAAATTTAAATAATCGTTTCAGCATAGAATCTAAATAATAATTTTAAAACATGGTATAAATATTAAATTGAAAAATAATTATAATTATAAATTCAAATATAATACAAAAATTTTAAAATATAAATCAAGTAATCCTTTCAAAATAAAACAAAATAAAAATTTATATTTATATTTTTCAAAATATAAAAAATAAGATTATTTAAGAGAATTTTTAAAAATATTATAAAAAATTATAAACATTTAATTTAAAAATAAAAAATTGATTTTTTATAATATTCAAATTTTCATTATATGTTATAAATGAAAAAATTTTATTTAAAATTATTTAATAAATAAATTTATTAAATAAAAACAAATAATTTTTTTAATAATTTTTTTATTAATATAAATTAAATCAAATAATTAAGAATTTTAAAATTTTATATATAGTAGATATCATAATAAAATCAAAGTTTTTTAAAATTTTAAAAAATTTTTAGATTTAATTTTATATTATTTTTTATATATAAATTTAATATATAAAATTCATCAATAAAATAGTATTTTGAGATCAAATTTTATTCTTTTTATTGATTCTTTGACTTTATACAAACAAAATATTCACAAGAGATTTAATATTTTTATATTAATAAAATCTTATAACTTTCTTTAAACTAACTTAAAGAGTTTTTTTAAGACTTTTTATTGTGTTTACAATTCTCTTTGAATAAATCAAACTTTTATGATCTATAAAATTCAATTTTTACCTTTATTATTAATAGCAAGTAAGTTTTTAAAAAAAGAAGAACCAATAATGAAATCTCTATTACTATTCTTTTGGAGCAGATAAATAAGATGTAATAGAAATCCGATACTAGTCAAAAGATCAATTTTTTTCATTTTGACTAGTTATATGATCTCTAAGAACTTTCATTTTATGATTTTCTAAAAAATTTTATCTATTCCAATTTGATTCTAAAATCTTAGGAAATATAAATCCCATTAATTTTAATTGATTAATATGAAACATAAAGAATAAGATTGATAAACAAGCTCATATTAATAACTTCATATATCTGAATGTATTTTTTTAGCCTTATAAAAATCTAGAATCTATTATAAATTATATATATTAGTGTTAATAGATATAGAATATGATACTAATACATTATTGGATACAAAAATAGACCTATATAATCATGATAAAGATTATAGAATACTTAATTAACTTTTGAAAATCAGAAATACATATATGCTAATTGTATATTAGATAAATTTAAGCTCCTACTGCTTAATAAAATCCAATCAGAAAAAGTAAAAAATAATTAGAAACATCAGTAATAAAGCTAATATATATAGTAAACTAGAAAATTTTTAATCTATCTTTAAAAAATCCCAAGTTGAAAAATTGAAAAGATAATATTGCTATATCAATCAAAACTCAAGTTCAATATTTCAATAATAATATGTGAGCTAGTTGAAACTGAGAGATTTTTATTGATCACTAATATCAATGGCTATCAATAAGATATATTGATCATAGACTAGATATAATTCTTCTTTAAGGAATTAAATCTAAAATATGATATACAAATAAATAAGTATATCAATATTTAGATAGAAACAAATTTAATTGATAATATATTAAAAAACTTTCAAGTCACTTATGCAAATATCAATATTTACTTGTGTTTTTCTGATTATTTTCTCTCCTCAAGTCTCAAAACTGTAAAGTCTTCCTTGTTACTTTCAACTTATTTCCATAAATATTCAATAAAAGCTTCCCATTAAACTATTCATATGATAGAAACTTGAAAAACAAAATGTATATAATACTAAAAAATATAACTTTACTCTTTTAATATAGTATATAACTATTCATTTTTTTTTTTAATTCTTAATGATACTAGTATACTTAACAAGATACTAATTTTCTTTTATAAAAAAAAAGATAATCAGTCTCAAGTTAACTTTAACTTATTGTACTTTATTATATTCAAATATATATAATATTTATAGCTGGGCTAGTACTAAAATAAATTTCAAGGATGTAAAAATTGTCTATCGCATCTGTTATTCATTATGTTAAAAATTCATTAACCAGGTGAATAAACTAGTCTTTTATGAATTGTTCTCTTTATGTAAAGAGTGGATCTTCTTTTTTGATTTCATATTTAAACTTCTTTTCTTTTTGTTTTGTAATATTATTCTATACTTTTTATTCTTGAAAGGCCTCACATTTTTTTGTCCATATCTGATAGAGATATTTGATAATTTTTGTGCAAATTAAAAAGATGCAACTTTTCCTATTTAATTTGTTTAGAATTATTCTTTTGATGTCACAAGTTGGTTCTTTGAAAAAAACTCCTTTTATACTTGCTATTAGGTATTTCTTGTATTTCAGGTTGGTTTTGTTTTTTATGTGATCTATAACTTTTGAGCTTTCAGTTTTGCCCCACATGTGTTTCTACACATTTAACTATCATATTGATAAGGAATGTCTTAGTATTTTGTCTGGTCTATAGGCATATAAAGGAGTGTGCATTAGTTTCAGGTTCTTTGCATACTAGGCAGTCCTTGTTTTGATATGGTGATGGGGCTCTTGTATATAGTTTGCTTTTGGTCAGTAGCTCCTCATTCAATATGCTAAGACAGAATTTTCTTAACTTTTGGTCCTCCTAGGATATATAATGATTACTCATTTTGGTGAGTTGCAGGTATGTTGTAGTTGTGTGCCAGTCTGTTTCTTTGATAATTTTATCACTGAAGTTACATCTTGTTCTGTTTAATAGTTTCCATTTTGTCAGGTGTTTAACACTTGTGAGCTTTTTTGTGATCATTTTTATGAGAACTTCAGTAGAAATGTTGTTCCATTGGAGAATTATTCTAATGCTTTGGTTGTGTATTCCTGCTATCTCAATTTCTTTTTTTCCTGGTGACATACCTTTCCATGGATGTATCTATACTAATTTATTTGCTGTTTCATTGTGTTCAATCTCTAAGTAGCCCTTGACTTTGAATAGTGACAATTTTATTTTATTTTCTTTGCACCATTCTGCAATTTGTAATAGTAGGTTGTTTTTTTATATTTTTATGATCTTTTCAATACTTTTTTTTTGTATTTTTAAGATTTTGTTAATTGTTACTTGACTGGCAGTATATATGTTTGCAGTGCTGTGTTCAGGTAAAGTACTAAGGACTGTTAAGATAGCTGCTATTTTTGCCCTAGTAGATGAGATGTGCCTAGTTATTTGTCCTTGAAAAGTGTGTTTTTTGGTCTTGAGTGATGATGATCCATTCCAATCCCATATAGTTTTTGTTTTTAATTTTAGTTAAGGAGCCATCAGTATAAATGTTGAAGATTTTGTAGTTGCTTAATTCCTCATTAATTGTTTTTAGAGCATTTAGACTGTCTATAAAACCTTTAATTATCTTATTTAATTTTTTTAAACTTCTTTGCAGCCTTGTTGGGACTAATTTCTGTTTCAGTTTCTTATGAGTTTATGTTATCCTGTGTGATATATTCCAAGAATGTAATGGTCAGAGAGTTGGAAGATATCCTGTTTCTCCAACGGAGTTCTTTATCTGCAATGTTGGTTTTGTTTAATGAGATTTTGCTTTTTTGGACTGGTATGGTGATTGAATGTTGTTTATGGTAATGAAGCTGCATTCATTGGTGTTGTCTCCTAGTATATTGATGTTACAACTGGGGCATGCCTCCAGGGAAAAGCTTTTTGGTTCCTGAATATAGTGTCTATATTGTGTTGTGTGCTAATCAATTCTTCGTTATTTCTTTTCAATAACAGCATTGACTTCCCTGATAGTATAGATCCAATATGGTTTAGTGATTGAGGTTTCAGATATAGGGACTTCTTGTTTGAATATATTTGAGAAGGTGTTCTGAGGATTAGGAATTTTTTTTCTTTCAATTAGTACCTCTAACTTTCTGCTAATAGTGTTGAACTAGTTGGGTATTGAGCCCGGAACTGCTTTTTTTTCTATTCTAATAATTTAGTACCAGTCCATGGACTTGGTTTTGCTTCTGTTTAGTATTTGGCTGATGAACATAAGGTTGTGCTTTTTTAAATCCTGATAATATTTTGAGTAAAAAGCTTTGCTTATAATTCTTTCTATTGATGTATCAACTTTTTTTATGAGTGTCAGGCTATCTGTATTTAGGATAAATGAGAAGATGAAGTCATATCTTCTCAAGAGCCAAATTATATCATGTGTAAGGTTCTTTCCTAGATTTATTGGGGAATGTTCTAGTTTGTTC